CCCCAAAACCCCAAAACCCCAAAACCCCAAAACCCCAAAACCCCTTATTTCAATGTTTTAGTTGAATTCTGAGTGTCTAATATCACCTATTCTTGTCAATTTGATAATAAATTAAAAGGTTAGCTGGACTTTTCAAATGTTTGCTGAATCTGTTGCAAGACCGAACTCCAGCATCTGTACAGTTCATTAGAGTTTTTACTCTCTGAATCTGAGAATTCTTTCAGACTGGAGACATACCCCTTGACTTTCTTTGCCTTGAATTCTGGTATAACCTTCTCAAATAAGTGAACAGTAACGATTTTTATTAATTTTTCATAGATCTCGATGTCCTTCTCAGCCTGAGCGATGAAAGTAGTCAAGCTTGTGATAGTAGAGGCCTTTCCTGATTGAGACTTGAACAAGGTTTTGAAGGTCTTCTTCCCTGCATTCAGCTTCTCAAGTTCAGAATTTGCATTCTTTATCTTGTTCTGGAGCTTATGTCTTTTACTTTCTAGTGAGTTCTTCTGGCCAATAGCTTGCAAGAGGGCATGCAAATCAATGATCTCTTCTTTGACCCAGTATTTAAACCTGATGAAGGGATTATCTATCTTCTCAGATAGAGCTTCGATCTGGGCTCTCATTGTGTTATTATCTGTGTCTGAGATCATTTTATAGTGGCCCTGGATGGAATCGCTTGAGTAAACATTCATAGTAGTACTTTCATACTGACTCAAAAATTCAGAGAAGTCCTTGTATGCTTCAAGCTGGTACCTTCTTTGCTTCTCGAGTTGAGTAATGCAGTTTTTGAACTTGGCCAATAGAGGGAAAATGTCTTTGCTACTTATCACAAATTCTCTGATAGAGTCTGTGTATCTGTTCACCTTAGCATCATCAATTTCTTCATGATTAATTCCTGTTGTTTTCGTAACTCTTTCGAATATACTTTCAGGGGTGGGTGCAGCAATAAGAGAAAGGGCTTGTCCAACTCCCATGTTAGGTTTGATGAAGGTCTTAACCTCATCAGACTCCCAGAGATGTGGGGTCTCTGAAACATCCTTCATGAATCTATTGAAAAGATAACATCTTTCTTGGACAACTGAGTTTTCCATTTTCCCGATCTTCACCTTTGGTGGGATGGCTGGAATGAAAAATCCAGGCCAGTTCTGATTGAGAAGATTTCTGAGGCTATAAAATTCTTTGTATCTTCTATTCTCATCAAAGTCTCCACCAGAGTTATTTCCTTTAACTCTGTACTCAGTATGGTTCCCAACAACTCCGCTCGATTGTTTCTTGGGTTCGGAAACAGTAATTTTAGCGTTTGGATCATATTCGATAATAGGCCTTGTCACATCTGCAATTTTACTTCCGCTACTAGGAGTCAGAGCTACTTTTTGTTCCTCTAGAGAGGCTCCAGTTTCCTTCTGTTCTTCCTGTCCAATTACTGGATATGTTGGGGCTGCTATTTGATCCTCTTCAACCGGGTAATCATAAGGAGATTTTTCTTGGTTATGGTTCGGCTCTTCAGGATAAGGATAACCCTAAATTTTATAAATTTAGTTGAAATTTATCAAGAAATAAATTCTATAAAATGACTGAATAGAAATTTTGTAGAGAAAAATTTACATAGTTGTTATCATCAACTGGGGTGGAATAATAATCTTGGTCCCCATCTTCATGATCTACTTCTGCATTATCGTAGTAATAATCAGCAACTTTTTGTGTGTTATAATTATCTTGATCTTTTTGGTCCACTGATGCTTCAGCTAAAGATCACTCTGATAAGACTTACAGAAGCTTCCATTTCTATAGCGGTCAAGTGCGCTGACGTGCATTGCCATTTTTAAGCAAGTTTATTATTATATCTCAATTCCGTCTTTTTATATTGGGGTTTTGGGGTTTTGGGGTTTTGGGGTTTTGGGG